GAGGCTCCATGGTAGCGGGCAGAAACCAGAACGAAGGGAAGCCGACTAACAACCTCGCACTAAGCCGCTGGCTACGACAACGACGACGGCGACGACGGCTACTTGCATTCGCTCTGCTTCTAGCAAAATCTGAATCTTACGCCCTCTCTGCAAACTTGTAGCGGTCACAAGTCTTCGGCCAGGGGCGATAGAAACAACAAATGTCATGTGTCTGGCTTCCAGGCGTACCAGGATTTGCTGGGCTGCCTTGTTGACCGTGCCAGCAGAACCCTTGAAACCTTTCATGCACGAACGCAGCATATGCCATCCTCGAAGAAGTATCTGGACAAAACGGGAATTCTGAGGTTGGGATAGCGAAGGGATTGCCATTGTTACCCTGCCGGATCAGCCATCTACCAGGGTCGAAGTCTTGGAGTTTTGAATGACAAGTCATTCACTTGCGCATGCTGCTCCATGTCAGAATCTGAGGCGTCGGCAGGCATGCCTTAGCGGAGGGGTAGATCTGCCTGGGCTCGTGCAGCTAAGTTCGGCCCTTCAAAAGATTTTGTTCCGGGAACAACTTTAGAAAGCCTCAGCACCTGAGTCAGCATGCATACATACATATAGCCTACATAGCCTTGACGATGGCTCATGTTGTCCTTGTGGCAAGTCTTCCAAAGTATGTAAGCTTAACTGCCATACAGCCACTGCAGGCATCGAAAGAAGTTGCCCTGCGTGAGGCAAATCTCCTGCCGAAGGTTGAAGACTGCTGTGGTGAGCCCAATGCCGGAGGGTTGCTTGCAGAGGCGGAAACCAAAGAACATCCAACGCCACACTGGAACATGGGATTCTTAAAAGAAAGGGGAGGGGTACCCATCCTCGGAATCTGATGCCTTGAAGTTGAAGTAGTCACTAAGTAGTCTTCATTAGTTCTGATTCATTTCAGGGTGTCGACCATGGCCTTCTGGTGCTTCGGCTGCGTGTTAAGTTGTTCTCGGATTTCCTGGATTTGGGGCCAAACTCAAGCTGAGATCCTGACAAACACTTCGAAGTATTGCCTGCCTGCACCGTGAAGTGCTCGGAGCTTGTGACGCTGGCACACTTCACCATAGGCTCCTTTGCTGGTCGAGAGGGAGAAAAAGTCGGGGGGGACTGAGTGAAGACTCAAGTGGGTCTGTGCTGATGATGCGAAGCAGTGCCAAGATACCAGAACATGCTGCAGCAGCTGCAGGGAGCAAAGGGCCCGGCCCTCAAGTGGGAATTGACAATCGGGAAATCTTCGTCAGATCAAGCGGTCTGGGGCATTGGGGCTAGCTTACGTTTCAGGGTGTGCGGTCACGGAAACTCTTACCCTCTCCTAGATCCCACAAGCTATCTACTCGGCCCTACCGGTTCTGAAAACGTTGCGAAGCCCTCAACCTTCTGCTCACTGACATTTAGGCGGGAAGCGTGGCAGGGTGCCCTGGAGATGCTTTTAACAAGTCTATGTTCTTACCTCAAGAAGCGTGCTGAAGCTCTCTCAGGCCAAATCTTGCCAAACCCGTAACAGCACAAAAACAGCAGAGCTCCTAAGGTGCAAGCAGCCCTCCACATCGAAATACCAACTTCGACCTGATCTGTGCTGCCGACTCCAATGTCAGGCGCTGTCGTGACCCTCTTCGCCTTTGTCGCATGAGTGGGTCTTGGATGCAGAGAGCCAGAGTCGGAACAATCCCAAACAACTGAAAGAAGCTCCAAGCCTCGGCACCAAGATATTTGAGCTCATTCCAAGACCGATCATTCCCCAACACTCAGGCATAGGCACGACATGTGCATCACTGCACTGCTATATCGAAAGTACGATAGCAGAAACGCGGCATTACCAGCCTGTGGCACAAACAAGAACCAGAACACAAGCGGGAACCAAAGAAGACCAATGATGCCAAGAAGACAGTGTCGAGATGCCGAACTCATGGCAATACTGTGCCAAACACATGACATGAGGAGTCACACAGTATCATGATTCACATCATGGATTGATTCGTCTGATGCTGTTAGAGGCACTGATGAGACCCTTGATTGCACCGCCAGTCTTTCTTGCACTGGCACTTGAGGTTTGCTCAATCCTCAACAACGACATGCGGTTTTCAAACCCCTTGGCCAGGGGGAGACTCTGAATGCAGCCTTGCTGCCAAGGAATTTCGAACCCAAGCCTGCGGCAACAGCCCATGGCAACTTCTGCGTTGTCAGCGATGCCTACTCAACCGGGTACAGGGCCTTTAAGGGCCCCAGACACGCTTCTTGCTTCTCAGGAGGCCTTGTGGTAAAAAGACCAGCCTACCTGAAGAATGAAGTTGCGACGGTCTATTAGACTTCGAAGGCCTTGCCCGAAAAGCCTAAGGGGCTGGGACTGCTGGAGTTTAGGGATGGTTGAGTCAAACGATTCGCCGGCGTGATGACGTGCTAGGGTGTCCAATGCTCGAAATCTGCATGCTTGATTTCACTAGCAACCTGAAATTATGTCATGTACCGCCGCCCAGAGTCAATAGGATTAGGCACTGTGTCATTGATAAGACTCTGGCAGATCAGAATGCCCAAAGGACCTGACTCTAGCTAGCTCAGCTGCATATCAGGCCTGTTCTGCCGTACTTTCCAAGTTGTAAATGCTTCGCACCACCACGAACTTCGCGGGAGCTGCGCAGTTGATCTTCCGGCACACCCCTCAAGAAGCAAATGCTGCACTTCCTCCAAGCCCTAACCCCGTAAAGCCCTCTCGCCCCTTGCAAGCTTATAAACCCAACATAAGAACGAACTCCCCCCCACCCCCCCCGCCCCCCCCAAAAAAGGGGGGGGGGGTTCCATCAAGAGCTCCCCCCTCCCCCTCCCCGCCCCCAAGAAGAATGGCGCCTCGTAGAGGTTCGGCCCAGGCTCCGCCTGCGCGGCGGGGCAGCGGCTCACTCCTTGGGCTCCTCAAAGCCAGGAGTGGAAGAGGGTGTTTTGGGGCAGCCTACTATTGTAGGGTTTAAGAGGCAGCTTAAAGGGGTGTTTAGTGGTGTTTGCGGAGTTTGGCCATACTTCTTGTTGGCGACCCCGGCCTCATGACTTTGAGGACTCAGCGAGGGTTGAAGGTGGCTGTGTGCGAAACAAAGCCAGGGAAGGACATAGTTTATGCTCTTAGCTTCTGAAGCAACTGGCTGCAACTGCCGCATGCTACCCTGAAGGTCTTGTCCGTACAACTTCTGACATGGTGCAAAAAGTTGTCTGATGTTGCAGTTCCATCTCCCGCAGGTCCTGTGACGCTCTGCTCTTTCATGCGTGTTCCTGAGCGTTAGGGTCGGGAGTGAGTAGGGTGCGTGCTGGGGGAATCTGTAAACCTGAGCCTTGGTCTGCAGCTGAAGCAACAAAACTGCCATATCTGTTCAGATTGGTTGAAAACCTTTCGAATCCACCAATCACCCGCGTCACACGCACACAGCTGCCAAATAGAAACGTCTCCGGAAATTGCGGCTTCGGCACCAGGGCAAGCCAGCGATGCAGAGGTCATGTGTAAAACACGGAGAGCACCAATGGTGCTTGGAAGCCGAAATGCTTGGAATCGGCACGGCGTCAGCTAAGTCTTGCAACATGGCACTTGCACAGGGGCCAACTGAGCCAAGCCATGTCCAAACAATCCATTGATGGATTGATGGTGTCCCCAACCTCTGTTGACCTGAAGCTGGCGATAATAAACCTTCCAAATCCTTGGACCCACAGTTGGCAAATGCAGAATTATTGACAACGACAGCAGCGCGACCCCTTTCCCAACTCCTCATTCAGCCCCCTGAACACGGTGCACAGCTGTGCTACGGTAGACTATCTGGTGCTCTGCCATTCATCAGGCCATGTCCTTGTAGTGTTTGCATAGTCTTCTTCGCTGCTAGCTAAGCAAAACTGCAAGTGCCATGCTCGAACCCTGTGCGTCTGGATCTTCAAGTCCGAAGCCCACGGCCTCAACTTTCAAAGCCTACTGGCAGAAACATTCTGAAACTGGCGCCTCGCCTCGCACTCCAAACCCCTCCCCAAGTCGTGGCTAGCTGCATTCTGGTTGGCAGCCTTCTGCCATTCCGCCGCCGCTGCACAAGCACCTGAAACGCAAGGCTCCCGGTTCACTCAGAAAACAAGGAGCTACGAGCCCTACTTCAACTGATTCAAGGGACCCTCTGCAAGGCTGGCAGGGTTTCTGCAGTTGGGCAGACTCTTCGTTTCCCACTTTTGTGTCCACGTGTCACGGCTGTCTTGGTGGGAGGGCTGAGTTGAGCAACACTTCAAAAATCGTGTTCTTCTGCTTCGAAGAATCGACTATTGACTGCGGCGCTTTCCCAGCATCTGAGTGGTTATCGAGTCAAAGGTCCCTGCCCGGGGACTATCACGGCTGCAAGGGAAATATGGGGAAGCTGAACTGGACCGAAAGCGGTACCCAAAGCAAATGCGGCGCACATTGAGGACCCCGATTGAAGAAAAGGTGGTGTGAAGTAGCTCATTAGCCGGAATGCGCGGGCACCTGTCGCCGAGCAGAACGATATCAAGTCTGCTGCTGGTGCTCCTCACCGAACGCAACAGAAATGCCCTCAAGCCTTGAAGGAGGTGTCATCGCAACCCTGATCTTTACATCAACGATTCCTGTGCCACTTGCTATTCTGGTTCCCATGATGGCAGGTCTCCAACACGAGAAACTCCTGGGTCCAAGATGAGGGCATCGAGCCTCGCCAGCTGCATTTTAGCTTCGAAGGTTGCTTTCGCAACTTTGGCTTTGCTGTGGGCTCTGGGTGGGCTTGCGGAAGGGTTTCCCTGCCCTACAGTCTGAAGCCTTGACCTTTTCAGCCTTGGACGGGAAATCCGTGCAAGGGGCTCTCTATACATTCGCGCAGCCAGTACGCGATCACGCAATCTTGCCCAGGCATCCGTCGGGTGCCGAGGCTATGTGAAGATGGCTTGACGCTTCGCAGTGCTATCTTCGATTTGCATGCCTTACTGCACCAGTGACCATGACATGATGAATCTTCATGATGTTCGTATATAGGATTCAGCCTCAAGTTGAATCTCCTCAACTCAGAGCCTCTTGTCTCTTGGCCAGCTTAGTCGGGCCCTTCAACATGCTCGGTGGGCCCTTTCCCTTCGCGCATGCTGACGCGATCAAGACACAACCTCGAGACATGATCCCCGTACACATGCTCAGGCGCGAGCAGCACAAGCGCTCGCTGCCACTGTCCACCGCGCCTCAGAGTGCTGAAGAAATCATTCCTCACGCCATCCTTCACAAGGACCTGAAAGCTGTGGCAATCCAAAGATCTCTGCAGCTCCCACAGCTCCTAAGTGGGGGATCGCAAGAGTTGGCAACAGCTTGTAGCCACGGCTTTGGGCACGTGGGCCGAAGTGATTCTGGGCAGAATGCCGTGGAGACGGCTCTCCGTAACGACTTCTGGGGTTGTATCAACCACATTGAGCTACTGCCACTGCACAACACCAGCTGTTGCAGCGGCCTATTGCCCATCACTTTCCCGATGCCGGGTGCTTTCCAGCCATCTTCCCAAGCCAACAAGCCGATGGCGAGACCTTCCTTTCCACCGTGGCCAGTGCGACCAAGTAGGTAACCATGTTTAGTCCTCAGCCTTGCTGTCCAAACCGCAGGCTGCAACATCCTTTGCGACCCTTGGCCACCGGCGTCTTATGGAGCTGATGGGGATTGGCAGCTTCCTCCCCGTTTTTTGGTGGCAGCATCTTGCACTCCGGCGTCTCCGCGCGCTTTGCTTCTGACCGCTTCACGCTGCCTCCCACTGAGCACACGAAGACCGCAGCAGCTCTGAGAAACTGATTTCAGAGATCACATCCTCCCTCAACACCCGAAAGTCATACAACCCTTGCCAAACCTAAACCTAAACCCTCACAAGCCTCAACCAAACACCATGTCGCTCACACGCGCATCACGACACGCACGCACACGTCGACACGTACGCACACGCACGGAGACGCGCGCGCGGTCGCGCGCGCGCGCGCGCGCAGCTTGGGGACTTCTGAGGATCTATGACGTGATTGCAGATCCGGAGCTGCAGTTGCAAGAAGCTTCAGATGGCTGCAGCTATGAACAGAAAGTAATCATTTCCCAGATTCAGGGTTTCCACTGCGTTCGCACTCTGAGCCGCCCGCTCGCATGCATCGATCCTAAGTCCGTGGGCAAGGCAGGCAAAAGTGACTCGCAAATCGCCCTTTCAGGCTACAAGGGCTTTTTGAGCTTGTGGACACGCCGGCCAAGGCATAGTCTTGCACACGCAGGAATCCCGCACCAAACAACACCATCCCTGCAACATACCGCTGGACTAAGTGAGGGAGCACTTCTATTTCGGACACAAAGAACCTCTTTCGTTCCACCCCAATAGACTGGCCCATCAAGCCGGTGCCCTACACCCTAAACCCAATCAAACCATAGTAAACCCTCAAAGCCCAAACAACAGCACCGTGCCAGGTCCCCCCGGCGCAGCATTCCACACTGCTACGGGTGCAGCGCCAGCACCCACAGCTACTGCGAGAGCAGCCAGGGCCTAAGAGGTTTAGGCTAGGACGGTAGGACTTCAGGGACTTCGAAAAATTATATAAACAGTTTTAGGAATTCAGGGTTTAGGGCGGCTTAGGTTCTTTAGGTGATAGAACTCCAGGCTTACGAGTGAACGGATATTCCTCTGCAATAGGCCCTCTCTCTGTGAAGCCAGGCTTTCCTGAGGGCTTTAGTTCAAGATCGGACATCTATCGGGTGTAGGGCTCACTCAAGTCAAGCGGCATGACGCCCCGTCACATGTACTACAACAGCATCACTACAAAACTGAATTATGTGGTGCTTAGCGCTTGCGCCATACTGCCTGAGGTGCAGAAGAGCTGTGCGCCAGACATTTCAAGCAACAAGAATCACAGATGACAACGTCCAAGAGAATTGGAAAGTCGAAGGTTCAACCCCAAACCATCAGATAACATCACCTAAGCGTAGGGCTCGCTGCCACTGCAGAGCCCGTCCCAGCGTCGTGACGACTGCGCTGAAGGTCACCTTCCATCCCAGACAATACACAGGCATCTAGTTCATAATCAAGCATGGGGATTCAAGGTTAATTCACCCGAAGGATCGAATGCATTGATAAGATACAACATTCCCTGCTCTCCCTGAAGTGTACAGGCAATGCCTGAAAGTGCCATGCTCAACTTGAGACGAGTATGGGGGGTGGCAAGAGATCATCGGTCCACGTGTGCCGCCAAAGAATTTGCGTCGGCCATGCCCTTGCAGGACCAGGGTAATGCATGCCCTGTCTTCCTGATTGCCTGCAACTTCCTAAGCCCTGAACCCTAAAGCCCCTGAGGTGAAACATGCTACAAAGAAGGTTCTTCAAAAAGGATGCCAGGCGAACGCCTAAAGCCTTGGCTTCTGAAGCTTCCTCCCTACACTCCCTAAGGGTTCTAAACTAGGATCCGTTTCTGGGTGCCCATTCTCATAATGGCCCGAGTGACCCGGTGTATTCTTAGGCCACCCTGAAATTACAAAAAAACCGCCATGCGGCGAGAAGTCCCCAGTTCCACGAGCGGAACCAAAGCTCTGGATTCACCTCGTTGGGCGACAAGCGCTGCGCTCCGAGGTCCTCCAGAAGCGCCAGGGCCTGGAAGAGACTGGGTGCTTTGCTTCGGAGTGGGGTTGGTTCAAATTGAAGGAGCTCAGCTCTACACCTGCGAACCCTGGCACAGCTTCTTCTCAGCAGACCTGAATCAGGTCGACTTCCTGAAAGAAGCCAGCTTTCTTGAACGACAGTTCAGTTTCCCTAACAAGCTTGTAGGAGGCTCGCTACCCGTAGCTGGGATTCGGAAACCTGCAAGGGGTTGATCAGCAGTGTTGCCAGTTGACCCCGCAGATTTCGAGAGGCCTGGCCCATTTTCCCGGACCCTCAATTTAGCCACCCTTTCCCTGACATGATCCCGCTAAGCCCAATACAACAAAATACAAACCATGCCCAGGCCCAGAACACCCTAGTCGACTGGCAGGATTGAGGCCGCAGCCGCCAGCCAAGAATGGGGGCTCGGGTCCTGGAAAAGCTCTCTACAGCTCTTTTTCCGGGCACAAGGATGAAGGTGGCCGTTGCTTGGGTGCATCCCCGAGAAGTACCGCATGGACTAGCACAAACAATTAACAGAAGTTTCGCTTCTGGGTGGTTCCGTCGAAGAGGAACGTAGGTTTCGCATGGTGCGCTGTCTACAAAGTGTTGAATGTACATCTTCGGGCCTCAGCGCAACATCCCACCGCAGAGGAATATGTGACAACGTCGGGCAGAAAGTTGGCCTGCAAGCTCGGTGTCCGGGTGTCAGGGCTCGGGTCTTACAACGTCATTTGGGCAGTTTGGGGGGTCACAAGTCATAAGATGACTAAGGCTATACGCTCTGATGCCGAGTACCCCATAAACCCCTGAAATTCAAGATGCAGCGTGTGGACTCGCGTAGGCTCAGTACCCCTCAGCCCAATTTGCTGCAAAGCGCTGCAGTATCAGGGGCCCTGGGAGCCCCAAAGGCCGCACCTGGTCCATGTCCTCTAGCAGCTGCAGGCTCAGCTCCTTAGGCGATCTGAGCTTTCGGGCTAGGCGTGCTTGGGGTTTAGACTTGGTTTAGGAGCCAGCAGGATTGGGATTCGGGGGATGTTTGAGCCTCCGGGTTGCGTGTCCTAGGGTTGTAGTGCTCCTGGGCACGGCGTAGGGTTTCGGGCTCAAGGCGTGCATGGCAGTGGGCCTTGTGGTGCGGTGTGGTGTACAATGATGCTGATACCACGCCCCAAACACACCCCGACATGCGCTTCAGAGTTTGGGAGATTGCTTCGGTTTGACATTTGAGGTTGTTTCGGGTATTGACTGAATGGATCAGGTTTTCTCCATGCTTTCTGGTTTGGTCTTATTGTGAGCGTTTCGCACTCCGGTGCCCACACAGCTGTCGAACAATTTCAACCGGAAGCCCACTCAACTGAAGCTTGCTGCCCCCCAAAAAAGCTTCGGCCCCGCACCCATGTCGCCGCTGCAGCGATCACGGTATTCCAGGCGATGAGGTCAGCTGGAGGCAGTTCAGGTAGTCACCCCCCCCCCCCCCCCAAAAAAAAAAAAAAAAAACAAGAGAACATGCGGCGTCTATGAGATACCCACTAGTAATCACTAGTAACTGGTACACTAGTATAGAGAAACATGATCTCATATGTTCAGATCCTCAACCCTACAAGCCCTGGTCTCAAGGGGTCCAGAAACCTGAGGTCATGCAAGGTCAGAACCCGGGAACTCATTTTTTGAGGTCCTTTTAAAGGGGGTTGGTGTTGAATTATTGGGGTTCCGGAGTTTGGGGTTTATTTGGGGGGTACTAGAGTTCCCCATGTAGGCGTTGTTTGGCATGAGGGTGTGCGTGTGTGTGTGTGTGTGTGTGTGTGTGTGTGTGTGTGTGTGTGTGTGTGTGTGTGTGTGTGTGTGTGTGTGTGTGTGTGTGTGTGTGTGTGTCCGCGTCTTGCAACCCCACGCTCGCTTCAGTAGTTTTCGCTGTTGCAGTACTTCTTCATCATTGTATTGATGCTCGGAGGACGGGTGCCTCCGCACCAATCCTGGTCCTGTTTCTCGTGTAACCATATCCGAGCCGAAAAATCAGTTTAAGCTGCCTGCGCTTCGCATGGAGAAGAACTGCCACAGTGCCAAGTCCTGAGAAGGGCTTTGGGAGCTCTGGTTTCTTGGGGCGAACCAGATTTGTCTAACCTTTGCCAGGTCGGTTCATGAAGAGGCTTGGGGATAGAATTTTAGGGGCATTGAATAGTCTGGGAAGGTTCGTGCCGCTTAATGACCTGGATTTCAGTCGTGCAGCTCACTGTCTGAACAGCAGGTCTTGAACAGGCTCTGCAACATCACTGCAACATCCAAACGTCAGAGAAGGTGCCCAACATCGTCAAAAAGATTCGGTTTTTTCCAAAGGTGCACCTAGGCCCCAGACCCATTGGGAAGCGCGGGCCTCAGGAGTCCGGCAACCGGCTAGCAGTCGGCAAAAACCATGTCATTCAGCGAGCCCCCTAACAGCCCTTGAACCTGGACTGCTCGGGATCTACAGCAGCTCGAAAAATGAACAGATGCGAACTCCCCCAGATCATTGACGGCCTGGCGGCAATCTTGGCGAAACGCGAGACAGCAAAGCTGCAGAAACCCAAAGGTGGCCGTGTTGTTGAACTCACTGGCCATGCCGCGGTCATCCCGAATGAAACGCAGAGAAACATCCATGCCATCTTAACGCAGCACTCAAGGATGAATGGTCTGGCTGTGGGGCATTCTCAGAGATGTGGAGGGGGGGACGAGGGCGGTTGTCCGCGCCTGAAGCTTGCTGGACTTAGTTCGGGTTCAGGGTTTCGGGTTATCTTTGGGCTGTGTCAGGACCCTCCGCGGAGTTAGGCGGCCCGGCGCATGCCCCCACAGCCGCGCTGCAGCTCACAGCATCTGCACGCAGGCGTTCATGACTCCTGATTCGGCTTGGAGGACAGTAAGCGCAATAAGAGCAACAATGACGACCATGTAACAAGATTACTAAAACTTTAACCTCTATCAAGAAATAATGGTGT